AAACCGAACCAACTGAAAACACCAATGTTCGTGTCAGCGGATGGGGACGTCTTGCCGTGAGTAGACAAATTTTTTCACACCGAAAATAAACCGGAAATGCTTTTAAACTAACCCTCGATTAATTTAATAAAAATAGGAAAACGGTCGCCTTGCCACCACTTTGCAATCAGTTTACGTACCAGTTGTCGACAGAGAAACCTGCGATTTGAGTCTCAAACCCGTTGTTGGACTCACCCCAAGAATGTTCTGTGCCGGTCTTGAAGGTAAAGACAGTTGCCAAGGAGACAGTGGTGGCCCATTGGTTGATGATGGAAAACTCGCTGGTGTCGTTTCCTTCGGTATGGGATGCGCTCGTAGAGGCAAACCCGGAGTTTACACCAACCTTGCCAACCCCGAAGTTGCCGCTTTCGTCAACAAATACCTTAAAGCCTAATTTATTAAATATTCTTTTAATATGATTCCTTATTAAAGAATATAATAAATCACATGTACATTAAAATATTTATTTAAATAAATAATCAATTAAAAAATAATAATAATAATAATAATAATAATTTTTTAACGTTTCCTTTTTATACCGAAAAAAAAAATTTTCTTTCCACGATTCGCTCGTAAAACATAAAAAACTACAACCAAGCAACCGTAAATTCTTTGTAATTTTTAATATTACAAAAAAAAAAAAATAATAATAATAGTAACAATAAAGTAATTTTGTTCTTGTTTGTTGTTGTTGTTGTTTTAATCATATATACAAAATTTAAACATAAACGTAAAGTAAAAAAAAAAAAAAATAGTCCCAAATGCACAAATGCACGGTTAGTTAGTTATCTTTGATTTGTTTTCCCCTTGATAATATTATTTGTTAATATATTTCGAGTGAATTCCTCGTCCTGCATGTACATATATATATAAATAAAACGATCGTTTCTACAAACAGAATATCGCCGTTTGTTGTCGGTTGTTTGTTTGTTTTCCCTTTTTAAAAATAAAAAACAAAGAAAAAAATTTTTAAAAAAAATGTTTTTTTCAATCGTTACTATTTTTTTTTATTTTTTAATATTTACATCGGGAAACGGTAAGTTTGTTGTTGTTGTTTGTTTGTTTGTTTGTTTTGTTAAAAAAATTAAAAAAAAAAAATTATATCAGCTATTAAAATTTATTAAATTTTTTTTATTCGTAAAAGTTTAAAAGGAGAAAAAAAAACGTGGTCGAAAAAATTTATTCGTTTTCCTCCGCCATTTTGACGAAAAATTTACTCGGGGTGTATTTAATAATAATAATAATAAAATTTTTAGGTGAAAATGGAACCCATCGAAGAATTGTTAGACAGCAACAAATTTATCCTCCCCGATACATGGCTGGAATTTTCGTGAATGATAAACCGGTTTGCGGTGGTGCTTTTATCAGGAACGACCACGTTATCACAGCAGCAGATTGCGTACACGGGTATTTAATTTGTTTAAACATTTATCGTGACGTCGACAAAGACAACAAAGACTACAAAAACGACGACAAAGACTAATAATTTAATTTTATTCGCGGGGGGAAGGAAAGGGGAGAGAGAGAGAGGGAGAGAAACATAAAAAATCAATGTTTTTTATTACTGTGTATTAAAAACAAAATGTCTAATTTAATTATTTATTATTATTATTATCATTTTCAGTAAGACAAACATTGTTGTGAGCGTGAATTCAGTTAAACCAAATGAAATGGAAAAGAAAAACGTTAAAAATTTTTACGTTCATCCCTACTACAGGCCGTCTTTAAAAGGTTACAATGTTGCCGTTGTTAAAGTCGATCCATTTCCAGATCCGGTTATATTAAAATTATCAAACGTCGATCCGAAACCCGGACAAGTTTTATTAACGAGTTCATGGAATCCAGAAAGTGTAAGTAAATTCATAATAATAATCGTTTTACCCTCCTCCCCTCTCCCCCCCTCGTCAAATAATGATAATAATGTTATTGTAATACGTGCAGGAAGAACAACGATTCGAATCTGAGGAATCGATAGTGGTCGAAAGGTCAATTTGTAAAAAATCACTTTCGTCGCAAATTAAAATAAATGGAAAATTAATATGCATGAATATGGAAAATACAAAATTTCCTTTTTTCAATGGAAATCCTTTGACGTTTGTCGATCCGGATGACGACGACATTAAAATCCTTTTTGGCATTGGAACTTATTCCGTGGAAAATTCAACGGAAAGGAAAAATTTACCAAATGTTTATGTAAACGTTGCCAATATGGAAATCGATAGTTTTTTACAAACATTTGTTTAAATAAAAAAATTTATTATTATTATTTTTATTGTTATTACTATCATTCTCACACGTAAAATAATAATAATAATGATAATGATAATAATTTAAAGGATTTAATTCCATTTTTGTGTGTAATAAAAAAATTAAAATGACAATTGACAATTAAGTTTAATTATAAATCACGTGTTTTTTTTTTTTCTCTCATAAATTTTATTGTTTATATGTATTATTATTATTATTTTTTTTTTTAAAAATAAGAATTATGTAAGTCAATAAAATAATTTATTAATAATAATAATAATAATTTTTTGATATAATTTTTACGTAAATTTCAATTCGAGGTAAGATTTTTATTTATTTATTTATTTATTTGTAACGATATTTAATTTTTTTTTATTTTTGTTATTAAAAAAAAATTCGATAAATAATAATAATAATAATAATAATAATAATGTCAACAAAAATATTATTATTTAAAAAAAATTAAAAATTTTTTTTGCTACGATTCAACGTTTGTTTGTTATTTAAAAGAAAGAAAAAAAAATTCTGGAAAATTTTTATTTGAAATTAATTAAATAAAGTGTTAATTAGGGGAAAAAAATTTTTTTTTTTTTTTTAGGTACTATATAAGTTCCATCTTTTTCAATCGGGAAAATTGTTAAAAACTGGAAAACTTTCATACACTGGAAAAAAAGAAAAAAGAAAATTGAATACGTTTGTAAATTATGATTTTTCAATTAATTTTTTTTTGCGTATTAACAGCAAGTTTATGTAAGTAAAAATTTTTAAATAAATTTAACAGGAAAAAAAAAAGGAAAATGAAAGGAAAATTTTTTTTTGTTTTTAAGGTTTGGCATTAAGGTTCACTGAAAAAATAAATGAATTGATTGTCGGGGGTCATCCAACGGACATATCGGAAATACCATATCAAGCAGGACTTTATTTTAAAAATTTTTATTTTTGTTCCGGTACAATCGTTTCTCCAGTACACATAGTCACGGCTGCACACTGTTTAGCTTTTTTGTAAATAATTTTTTTTTTCTCCAAAATATTAAAAAGTTTTTTTAGTCGATTAAAAACATTTTTTCGATACAGGCCCGCACCTTATTTAGGAAATTTATACGTTAGAGTTGGTACGTCGAAAATGAATTCAGGAGGAGAATTGGTTCAAGCTAAAAATGCATTCATACATAGTAAATTTTCTAAAATAACAATCGATTATGACATAGGCGTCATCTTATTAAGAAATCATCTTAATTTTACCGAATTGATTCAACCCCTTTTACTTGCCGATAGTGAACCTGGAGAAGGGAAAGAAGTTAAAGTTAGCGGTTGGGGATACGTGAAGGTAAGAATTTAAATTTAAAAAAATTACGTATTATTATTATTATTACAATTTTTTATTTATTTATTTTAATAAGGAAATCGGTCCGACGTCTCGTACTTTGAGATCTGTCGTCGTTCACATTGTCGATAGGAAAATATGCGAAGAAAATTATAGGAATAAATTTCAAATAACTAAAAGAATGATATGCGCTTGGGGTGATAATAAAGATGCTTGTTTTGGTGATAGTGGAGGACCTTTGGTCTATAAAGGTCAATTATTGGGAGTTGTATCAAGCGGTGATGGATGCGCAAGAAAAAAATTCCCTGGCGTTTACACAAGCATTCCAAATAAAGAAATTAAAAATTTTATACTTAATAAAACGGGGATAAGGGTAACCATATCCGGTTTTTTTTACAATAACAAACACAATTCACAAAATTTAAATTTAAAATTTTTTTTTTTTTTTTCCAGATTAAAAAACGATTTAGAAATAAATGGTTTAATAATAATAATGAACGTACGATTAACACAACAACAAATATGTTTTATTTATCACAATAGCAAATTATTATTATAATAATAAGAAGAAGAGTAATAATAATAATAACAATAATCGTGATTGATTTCTAGTTTTTGTTTTTTCATAAGCCATATATTAAAAATGTCAACAACAACAAAAAAAAAATTTAACTTTATATTATTGTTTTAATTTATTAAGTTTTTTTTTTTTTATAAAGACATTCTTACTTTCTTTAAGAAAAATATTAATAATAATAATAATAATAGAAAAAAAAAAAATTAAAATTAATTTTTAATGAAAAAAATCAAAAAAAATTTTTTTTCCTTTTTAAATTTAAAGCCGAAAGCAAAAAAAAAAAAATTATTTATTTATTTATTTAGATAAATTTCAATAAATTATTTATTTTAAATCGATTTATTTATTTTTTTTAGTATGTATTATAACTGAAATTATTAATTAATTAAATTTAACATAATATCGATAAATAAGTTATATGCAAAAAAAAAAAAAAAAAAAGTTATGAGTTTAGCATGTTAAATGCTATTTAAAATCTTACTACTACCACTACTACTACTGCTATTATTTGTTTATTAATTATTTATTTACATTTATTTATTTATTTTTTATTTTTTATTTTTTTGGTAAAAATTATAATGGTTGTTTAGCTAAACGTGCCAAATCATTTTCATCTTCTTCTTCGTCGTCGTCATCATCATCATCTTCTTCGTCATCGTAATCGTAATCGTAATCGTAATCATCATCATCATCATCACCGTGATTTCCTTCTAGATAAATATCGGGAAATTCATTTTCCAACCAATCCCAATCATCTTCTTCGTCATCGAAATCGTGTACTAAATAAAATAATTTATTAGCACATTTTGAATGGGGATCTCTAAAGTGTAAGTAAGGATTGTTTACATCGAGAAGAGCACTGCACAACCAGCAAAAATACGCGTTGCATTTCCAACAAACCATTTTATTACAACCGTGAGATTTCTAAAAAAAAAAAAAAACAGGTAATATAAAAACAAAGTGTGAAAAGTTTTTTTTTTTTTTAATTACAAACGAATTCTCTTTTGAAATATATTTAATTTTACCTCGATGGCAACTTCGCATTTCGGACATGTTTTGCTGTTGTCTTTGATCCACGCTTCCGCTTTTGAATTGTTCAACAGCGTTTCCAAATGTTTTTTACCATATTTATTTTCCAATTGAGCTTTTACGTCATACGATGCATTTTCGTATTCTTCGATAAGTTTTTTAACTTCGACTAAAATAAAATAAAAATTAAATTAAATTTTTTAAAGAAAAACATTCTTCTAATCATCATCATCAATATTGATCATCACCTGATTTAAATTGACAAGGTTCGATACCGTGATAAACCATTTTACACGTGACGCAGAAAACATATTGACAATTAGGACAGGACGCCATTTTTTCTTTAGGTTCCCAAGAAACTGGATATTGGCAAAATTGCCTCGGACAGTATATAATATCACTTAATGTATCTAAGGCTGTGTTTAATAAAACTGAATCATATTTGGCAAACAATTCTTCGGAAACGATTTCTTTCACCTAAAACAAAATGTTAGAAATCAAATTGAAAAAAAATTTTTTTTTTTTTATCGTTAGAAACAATATTGGAGGGAAAAAATTATTATTTACTTACTTGAGATGGTAAAGCTTCAGTTGAACATTTGTCTTCTGGGCATTTTATCGATTGTACCATTCCATCTCTTATTTTAATAGTGAAATAACTTTTAATACAACTAATACAAAAAACATGATTACAGCCTTGAAATTTTGTACAATCTTTCCCTATTTTATCCTAAAATTAAAAATGAACAAAAAAAAATTAATCTCGATATTAATTTAAATTTTTTTTGCAGTGAAATTTATTTTAATAAAAAATATACTTACACTGAAACAGATATTACATGTATAAAAATTTTTTAAAAATTGTACTTTATCTCTTTCGATATTATAATTTTCGAGTAATCTGAGTGGAGACATTTTAATGTTTAAATCCAATACTGCTCTTTCATCGAATCTATTTTTTTTATAAAAATTTTTTTTAAAACAACCCCTAGTTTTATTAAAAAAACATTTTTTTTTTAAATAAGGTAAGTCTTTTTTATAATTGTTGTGACTTTCTTTGAATGCCTTTGAATTTTTTACATCAGATGATGTACCAGAAATACTCTGGTTTTCTTTTCCATTTGTTATATTATTTTCATAATTACTTTTATTATCGACATTTTCCTTTGAAGAGCTTACCTCTGAAACTTCATTGTCTTCTGCTAAATTAATATTTCTTTCAATTAATTTATATTTTTCCAATGTTTTTAAATAAGTTAAATGTTTAGAGCACAATTCTCTTAGATCTAATTCGTTTTCATACCCCAAAAAACTCAATGCATCATTTTTTAAAAAATCACACCATATGTATACAATTTCAACTGGTCCATATTCTGACCATAATTCATCCAATTTTTTGCACAATAAACTTATCTTTGATTTTGGAAGCCACTTACAACTGATAACAAATATGGGAGGATTTTTCGAAGGATAATCTTTAGGAAAAGTTAATCTTAACTCGATCGGAGGAAGATGCTTAACTTTTAAATAGGAAGGTTCATGCGATCCTGGTACTAATAAAAACTTAATGGCATATTCTTCGGGAAGTTTACAAAATGCCCAAAAAATAGCTTGAATTTGTTCATTTTGGTTAGAAGTGTCAGTAACTTGAAACTCTTCAGCATAATAGATGCTTTGTAATGAATCTATTTCATCTAATTGAGAGCTTCTATCCATAATAATAATAATTCAACTAAAGATCTGAAATTTTTTTTACAAAAAAAAAAAAAAAAAAAAACATGAATTAGTTTTTTAAAAATCAAAACATTTGAAATGTGGAACATTAACCTTGACTTAAACTTGATGTAATAACTAGGTATGATATAACAATAATTTTCATTTGTAAATGAGGTTCACAATTCAGAGTTCTAAACCATTATCAAATTTTTAAAAAAAAATATATACTTTAAGGTAAAATTTTACTCATGTTTAAATGAAAATTTTAGACAGCTGAATTAAAGTAGTATTTATTATTTTTTTTTTTTTAATGTTAACAAATCATTGTTGGTTTATTCTAAATATAAAATAATTACATTGAAAAAATTTACCTTATCGATTTACACTATTAATTTAGAATCAATAAAAAATTTTTAAATCATTTTTTTTAAGAAAAAAAATTTTTCATTTTTAAGTTGTTTTTAATAGAAAGAAATACAGATCAAATTCGACTTTGAATTATTGGTACCAACTTTAAAACGAATACTTAAATCTTTTTTTTTTTGGTTTTAAATAATTTGAATTTATTGAAAATATAATTTTAAAATATTTAAAATAAATATACGTACAAAAGCACTTTAAACAAAAAAAAAAAAATTATATTAATGGACAGTTTTTCAATAATAGTAAAAAAAAAAAAAAAAGTAAACAGAAAATTTAACGTTTCCGTTAAGTTAATAATTTACACCATTTATAATAATATTGTAATTCATACCTTAATAACAATAAATAATTGTACAACAATTAAAATTTCTTTTCTATTTATTATTCTAAAAAATAAATAAATTACATTATTTTTTATGTGACTAACAAATGTTCTAAAGAAATCGTTCGAAAAAAAAAATAAAAAATAATGTTGGCAATAATGTTATTAAGACGGTAATTTTAAAAAATGTTATCTAATAATAATTTAAGGAAAATATTTGATTTTTTGACAGTAAAAGTAATAAATAATAAATAATAATAGGTAAAATTTAAAAAAGTGAAAGGAAAAAGTTTATTCGACAATATAATTTTTAACTTAATTAATAAAATTATTAATGAAATTTTTAATTGTTTTTGTTATGTGAACAAAAATGTCCGCGCAAAGGTAGCGTATTAAAACAATAAAAATAAAAAAAAAACCGAAATTATTTCGTAACGTTTTTTTTCGTTAAACAAATAAACATATTTTAATGATAAGTAAAAACCTTAAATACATAATTTCATTTTTAAAATGAATTGTAAAATAATTACAATTGTTCGTTGTTTAAAAAATTTTAATTGAAATTTTATTTCACCAACATTGAAAAAAAAAAAAATTTCACTGGTTATTTTATATACAATATGTACTTTCTGTTATGTTTAAAAAAACTCAAAATTAAATTTACTCTTATTTAATTATTTACTACTTATCTGCTTATTATCATTTTCTATTAGGTAAGTAAAATGAGTTTAATACAATGTTTGGAAAAATTTTTTAACTTTGACATTTCTAAAATTATTATTTTTTTAATCATAAATATTGCTTACAGGGAACTACTGCCATTAGAAAGAAAAAAGCAAAACTTCAAACTAAAATACATGAAAAAAATGGTTTTTCTTCATTCTAGAAGAAAATAAGTAACTATACAACATCATACTACTGACAGAGGAAAAAAATTTTTATTTATTTATTGTATTGTATCAGTATAATCTGATTCATTATTATTATTATTCTTTACCTCATAAGTAAAAGACACGCAATGAAACATATTTTCTCATATTTCATTTACCAAAACATTATTATATTATCTGTCGGCGGTTTTAACTTTTGTAAAAACATAACAAAGCTTCATATTAACTTTCATGGTTATAAAAGATAAAAAAAAAAAAAAAAGTTTTTCCAGTCAACATTCAAAAATTATAAAATAATAATTATTATAAATAATTTATTTGTCCGTGAAAGTTTTAAATCTTATTTGAATGTTGTAAGCACTTGTAATGTTTAACTTATTACCTTTTTTCACGCTAAAAAAAGGTACAAGAGAGTGTGAAACGAAGAGAAGAATATTATAACCATTTGCAAGGTAAACTTTTAAAGTAAAAGTGAAAATTTTTTTTTTTTTTTTGTATTAATTTAATTAAATTTTTTTATATTATTGTAAAAGGTGTTGTGGTAGTGGTGGTGATAGTGGTAGGGATTTATAAATATCAAAAAAATTATTATTTTTTATTTGAAAATAATAAATTTATACATGTGATAAAAGTGTCATCAAATCTATAACCAAAAAACAATTTGTGAACCGTTAAAATTTTTTTTTTTTTTTTTATTATTCAAAGGTTGGTAAGTTTTTTAAAAAATGTTTAACCCTGTCGTTTAATTAATTACCTGATGGTGTTTTCATTTTCATTTTTTCATTTTATTTTATTTAATAGAAATTATGTAATGGTTACGATTGTTTTATTAAATATTGTTTTAAGAATTAACATTTTAGTGAATTTCAAGTTTTTTTATTTTGATTTTTATTTGCGGAAGGAATTATTACGGTAAAGTAAATTTTAATAATCTCCTATACGTAATTTATAAATGACATTTTAAGGAATCAAAGTTCGTTTTTAACAATTACATAATTATTTTTAAAGACGTAATAATAAAAACTACTTTCGGTAAAACGATAATAAAACCAAAAATAAATTTAATAGAATATAAATGTAATTATAAAAAAAACTCCCCCACGAGTATAATATATAGTAAGCACGCGAATATTTTCCGCCATTTTGAATTCATCCAAATAAAAAATAAATTAAGATGAATAATGTCGATGGATGGATGGATTTAAAACGTTTGATAATTTTTTAATAAGAGTCATTTATTTAAATTAAAAAACACTTAAACCAATATTACATTAAGGAAAAGTCATTAAAAATTAATTCTTGCCATTTATAATATAAAATGCCAAAATCAAGGAAGTTATAAACTCACCGTGGGGGGGGGGGGGAGAGAAATAAATGTTAGTTTTTTTTTTTTTTTTTTTTTCATGGAAGTTGTTTTTCTTTTACTATATATACAAAAGAATATATATTAACTATAGTTAAATAATATAATTACAATTATTTTATGTATTATTGATAACTTATTAACTTATTAGTTCAATATTGAGAGGTAGTTGAAATATTTTTTTTTCAAATTTGTTTTATAAACTACTAAAGTATTATAGAAATTAAAAAAGAATTATAATTACTTGTTTGTTGTTTATAAAAAAGTCAAGTGTTGATTGTCTCATATTATATTACCATACAAGTTTTCAAATTAAAAAAAAAAAATTTTATTTCAAATAAATTATATTTCAATAATTATTTTAAAATTATATGCAGTTGATTATAGTTTGACCGCATTTTTCTTTTTATTACATAATTTTATATTTAATTAACTTAATTATAATATTATTTGATATAAAAAAAAACCAACTTGTTGTTTGTTTAGAAAATAAAATAATAATAATGATGATAAATTTTTACATGAGTTGCAAAAAGAAAATTTTTTTTTTTTTTTTTTACAAATTAGCTGATTATAATTTTTTTTTTTATTTAACAAAACAAAACAAAAAAATTTAATAAAAGTAACCGAAAAAAGATAAAAAGTAATTTGTCATCAAATGTCATGATTATTATCATCATCATTATCAATGATAATTATCTGAATTAATTAAGTATTTGTATTTATTTATTTTGCAATCGAGGGAAACGTATAATTGCAAATAATAATTTTTTTCTATCATTTTTTAAAAAATTTTTTTTTTTTTGTTTGGAAAAGGTCATTATTTTGTATTTAATAATAATAGTCAGCCATGTTTCAAATTGCACAATGAACCTAATTTTATTTTATTTTTATTTTTTTCAATCAAATTTTTCATCTTTCAGTTTTATTTATTTTTAATGATTTGTTTATTTATAAAAAAAAGTTTTACATAATATCCATAAAAAGATCTTTTTTGACAAATTCTTTTTTTTTGAAAATGGTTGAGCTGTGCAACAGTGTTCATCCAAATTATACATTTGTATGTGTTAATGGAAAATCCTTTATCTGTTGGAAAGCCTTTGAAAAACCCTAAAAAAAAATAAAAAATAATAAATTAATAATACAAAAATAGCAGAAGACAGAAAATGAAAACTACAAAACGCATCTCAGGGAGGGGGAAATATTTGAACAGGAGGACACAACATAAATTAAAACATTATATATACAAATTAAAATGTTTTAAAATTAATTTGTGGAATTTGTAATAAGATATTATGAAAATAATATTCAGATTTTAAAACTTTGTCGGCTTTTTTTTTTTTTTTTATTTTCACGGTTAAAATTAAAATTTTTTTGCCATTGAATTTTTTTATCGCAAAAGGTTGTGTGTCGACTTTACTTACTGCCGGCAAGTTGGTGACAATATTAAATAACGAGATAAAAATTTTTGTTGATTTGGAAAAAAATAATAATAATTAAAAGAGAGCTTAAAAAATTAGGCTTAGATAAAAAATTTTAAATAAAAGAAAATCACAAATAATTAGATAAAACAAAAAAAATACTTATTTATTTTTTTCTTGGCAATTAATTTGACATGTGAAGTAAAAAAAAAAATTTCAAAATGGCGGCCCTTAAAAAATGAAACGTAATATTTTTTTTTTATTTTGAATATTAAAATTTTGTTTTTTTGTTTATCAAAGTTGTTACAAAATACAAAACCTACACTGAAGATAGCAATTATAATTAAGTAAACAATTAATAAGACGTGAAGGATTTTAATTACCGCTTTTTGTTACAGTTAAAAAAAAAAAAAAAACAATATTTTTTACCTTCACTCTCTTTTGGTCGGCATTAATACTTTGTTTTAAAATGATAATTATTTTTTTGCAATAAAGATAAGATAGATTGTTTTGTTTTTTTTTTTTTAATTATTTTAATATTTTCCGACTCGGTCGAATTCATTTTTATAAGAATCACTTTTTTTTTTTTGTTTTTCAGTTATTCGTTCGATAGCAATCCGATGAATATTTTATCCGTGTACATATTTAACCATCTCGTCGGCCATTTTGAAACCGTTACTATCCGATTGTAATAATATCTGTACTTCACCAACGTTTGCGCAACGTTTTAACAAAAAAGAAAAATTTATTTCAAACATTCTGAAATTTAATTTCAAATGAATCAACACACAAAAAATTGTTTCGTTGAAAATAATGACAGACGATAAAACGACAGGTGCGACATTTATGATCGAAAAACGGTTACAATTTTAACGGATATTCTAGTGCTACGTTTAAATAAATTAAGGAACATCAATAATTGTTGTGTCGGTGAATTTTGAAAAATTTCAATTTTATTAATGTTTCACGCACGGAATCGAATTGAAAAACAGTCAATGTTTTTCCCTCTTTGATAATTTTAATAAATTTAACTAATACAAAATGAAAGGAATCGTTAATAGTGGATTTATTGCAGAAAATGAAGATCACAAGGTAAGCTTCTAGAAGTTTCATAGATAAAATTAATTCTTTTTTTTTTTAAATGTGATGAATTATGTACATTTGACAATCAATCAATCAATCAATCAATCAATCATATAATTTATTTTTGATTGTTATTTTACGACAAAAGAAATAATAATAATAATAAATTCTACATATTTTATAGGAGAAGTTAAAAAGAAATTATTATTCATAAATTATCTTTATTGTCATTATTATTATTATTATTTTAATTATATATGTATGTTACAATGATTTAAAATGAAACCGAATATATTTAATTTTTAAAACAGAGGAAAACAAATGAAAATTTATATTCATTATTATTATTTAAATTTTTTTGTTGTACAGTCAAGATGACGGTTACCATAGTGTGACGTAAGTTAGTAGTTTTTGTAAATTTTTTACTAATTTATTACCCCCCCCCGCCGAAAAAAAAAGAAAGTTTTAATGTAAATAATGTACATAATTTATTTAGATTTTTTTTTGTTTTTTGTTCTCATTAATAATGTTTGAATTTAATTGTAGGTTAAAGTGGAAGAAGATTCATTTGAATTAAAAGATGAAGTTAATGGTAAAGACATATCATCTTCATTACAAAACACAGAATCAAATAATAATTATAAAAATAATAATATTAATAATGATGATGACAATGTAAACATATTAGCAAAAATAATTATTAAAACTCGCACTGTGATAAAAAAAAAATTCTCAGGCTCAAATTCATCTGGGACATTTTCATTTTGGAAAATTTTTTCACATGGTGTTTTCTTAGCCATATTGGCTGCTTCAATAGTAAAGTATTTTAAAAGCGGTGAGTTTTTTTTTTTAATCAATTATTTTTTAACTTCCGAATAGCCATTTAAATAAAATAAATAAATAAAATTGTTTTTTCTAGGTGTGACAAATATTGATTGGTGCGAAGGAGTGGGATTTCTATGGATTTTATATTTTTTAACATATTGTTTTTTACTTTATTCAATTATAAAAAAATATGCAGGGAATAAATTAGAAACACGCTTTGTAAAAATCACTGGCAAAATTTTATCCTTATCTAATAATAAGTAAAGTATTCGGATATAATAATGATGAGGAGGTGTGTCGCGATAAAAAAATTCAATTATTTTTTTTCCAGGTACGTACGTGGTATTTTATATGCGATACCAATAATTGCACTTGCAACGTATGTGGCATTGTTTCCAGGGAAATCCGGTCGTAGAATATTTTCATTTTTGGGTATCGTTGTTTTTACCCTTTTCGGTTTTATTTTTTCCAAATATCCGGGTCATGTAAGTTTCAATCATTTCGATCGATTTAAATTATATTTGTTAAAAATAAGGGATTTTATTTTTTTATGGAATTTTAGATAAAATGGAGAACTGTAATCGCTGGTATGGCACTCCAGTTTGTTTTTGGTTTGATTACCATCAACTGGGAAGGAGGAAGAAAAATATTAGAATGTATAGGAAGTAAAGTGACGCAATTTTTATTATACTCCGAACAGGGAGCTTTATTTGTTTATGGACATTTATCACAACCCCACGATAATCACGGACCGATTTTTGCATTTTCTGTAGGTAACATAAACTCATTTCCTTTGTCTCACAATAATTTAAAAATATTTTTAATAAATGAATCCGCGTAATTTTTTTTTTATTTTTTGTTTTATTTATTTCAGGTTTTGCCCGTCATATTTTTTCTAAGCTTTTCCATAAATATTTTAAATTACTATGGAATTCTTCAGTGGTTCATAATTAAAATTAGTACGGTTGTTAAAGTTGTCATGAATACGACAGCATGTGAATCCGTTAATGCTGTCGCTAGCATATTTTTAGGAATGGTAAACAGATCAATCTTTCACGAATACATTTTTTTTTTTAAGCGTATTTATCATTAATTTTTTTTTTTTAGACAGAAACTCCAATTTTAATTAAAAGTTATATTAAAGATTTAACGGAATCTGAAATTTGTGCCATTTTATGTGCGGGTTGGTCTACGGTCGCCGGTGTAGTTATGGCTGCCTACATAAAATTTGGCGTTAAAGCATCACATTTAATATCTGCCAGTTTTATGTCGGCTCCTGCATCATTATCTTTCTCCAAATTGTTTTATCCGGAAACAAACGTTTCGAAAACTTGTTTAAATAAATTAGTTTTGGAAAAAGAGTAGGATTTTCAGTTTTAATTTTAAAAAAATTTTTGTCCGAGGTAATTTTTTTATATATTAACTTATTTTTTAGGGACGCTTCCAACGGATTAGACGCGGCTACAAGGGGTGCAATATCTGCCATTTCAATGGTTTTAGGGATTGTGGCGAATATAATTGCCGTTTTGTCATTTGTAGCATTTATTGATGGAGTACTCATGTGGCTTGGACTTGTTATTGGCATTGAAGAATTATCTTTAAAGGTTGGTTAATTATTGTTAGTAAAAAAAAATTGTTTTTCATATTTACATATAATTTTTTCAGTTAATACTAGGAAAAATATTCATACCAGTGAGTTTTTTAATCGGTGTCGATACGGAATCATTAGAAGAAGTATCATATTTAATTGGAATAAAAACAGTAGCAAATGAATTTCAAGCTTATCTAGAATTAAGTGAATTAATTAAACAGGAAAAATTAAGCGAAAGATCCGAGATTTTAGCAACGTATGCACTTTGTGGATTTTCCAATTTTGGCTCAATAGGCATATCAGTTGGAGTGTTTAGCGCAATAGAACCAAGTCAAAGTTCTGCAGTTACTAAAGTTGCTTGCAGAGCATTTATTGCAGCCAATATTGTTTGTTTTTTGACTGCTTGTATTGCTGGTTGTATAATTCAGTAATTAATACAATTTATCATTATCAATTCAAGCTAGAATTAATAAATTTTTAAAAAATAATCCATTTTTTCATAATCTGAAATAAATGTTCTAATTTCATTAAGAAATTTCCATAATTTATGCCTTCGAATAAAATTTTAATATTTTTTAGAAAAAAAAAAAAACTTTTTTATTTTATTAAACGGATTTAATTTATATTAAAATTTAGCTTTGATTACATATTAACATAATAATTTACAAATATTTAAATAATTTACATAAATATCGATTGAATAGTAAAATTAATTAAAAATATAATAATAATAATATCGATAAATCATTTAAAGACTTATAAATAATTAAATAATGATAATTGATTATAAATAAACAAATGATAATAATTATACATATTATTAAAATAAAAAATTTCTTTCTAAATTATGATTAAAGTAATAAAAAATATTTTTTTAATATCATTTGACAATATTTAAACTTTGTTTTTTAAAAAAAAATAATTAGTTTTATTTTATTTATTTTTTTCATAATGTATTTTTAAATAATTTTACTTTATCAATAATTTTTTCTTTCCATTCTTCATCAGATA